AAATAATAAAAAAAATTAATAATTTTTGAGAAATAAATTATATATTTTATTTTAAAATTTCAAAATTTAATAAAATAATATAATATTAAAATAATATATTTTTATAATTAAAAATAATTTAATAATTAATTAAAAATTTAATATATAAATAAATAAAAATAATTAAAAATACTAAATAATTAATTATAATTATAATAAAAATAATAATTATTATAATAAAAATATAATTAATATAATAATTTTTTTTTTAAAATTTTAAAAATAAATAAAAAAAATTTTTAAATTATTTATAAAAAAAATATAAATTTATTAAATTTATTAATATTTAATAATTAAAAATTTAATAAAAATTATTTTAATATTAAATTTTTTAAATAATTTAATTTTTATATTTAAAAATAATAATATTAAATATTTATAAAAATTAAATAAAATAAAAATTATAATAATAATTTATAAAAGATAAAAATAATATTTATTTTAATATATTATAAAATTAAATATTAAATTTTAAATTTAAATATTTTAATTTAATAATAAATATAATATATTTATATTAAAATTATTTTATAATTAATTATATTAAAATTTAATTTTATAAAAAATATAATATAATAAAAATATAAAAATATAATTATTTTATATATAATTATAAAACTTTATTTTATTTTTTTTATTTTATTTTTTAAAAAAATTATAATTAAATTTTATAATAATAAAATATTTATTTTATTATTTTTTATTTAATTTATTTTATATTTTATAATAAAAATTAAAATTAAAATAATTAATATTTAATAATTATTAATAAAAAAATTTATATTATTTTTAATTATTTTTATAATATTATAATATATACTTAAAAGTTTTATATTATTATTTTTAAATATTATAAAATATTTACTTTAAATTTAATTATAAAATATTATATTAATAATTTTAACTATTTTATTTATTAAATGTTTTAAAATATTATAATAATATATATTTTTAAATAATATTTAATAATTAATTCTTAAAATTAATATAATAATTTAAATTATATTATATATAATAATTAAAATATAATTTAATAATATAAAAATTAAATTATATTTTTAAAATTTAAATTTAGTAATTATTATATATTATATTAAATTATAAATTAATTTTATATTTTAATTTAAACACTAATATATAACTTTTTATTTAATTAATTATTATAATATTAATTTTAACTTTTATATTAAAAGAAAACTTTAGATTTATACTTTTAATTTTTTATAATATCCTTTAAATTATTTAAATTATTTTCCTTTTTTTTAATTTTCGCATATTAAAATGTTACTATATATACTGTTTCTGTATTTTTATGTTACTATTATACAGTGTTAATAGATGTCGCAGATACTAGTTCCCTAAGTGTAACCTGTCTGAAGCTTCATTCTATGTCACTCCTTTGAAATACGCACTCGCTTTGTATCTAAGCTATAGTAAAACATTCACGATGGATTTCTCCAAGTTTAGCAAGGGTATCTCGTAAGTCGTCATTCATCAAATGGCTGTTGAGCAATACTTAATACTTACGACTTCGGCAGCGATTTCGGTGCGCAAATTACTCCGTTTGCGTCACGAACCTTCCAGTTTACCAAGGAACAGTTAGGTCAGGCAGATGATAGAGTATGCGATTCGCCACGTCAGGGCATGGAAGTGTGGCACTAATTGTGTGTTGCCACAGACTCAGCTCCCTGCCGATTATATCGACCTTGAAAAAAAGGTCGATGCGCTGAAACAAGCCCACCAGAAGATGCTTGCGGTGACGTCTGTTGCTCAAACTGAATTCGAAGCTCTCAAGGTTGCTAATATGGAGAATTGGACAGTTCGCAATATACCAATGAAGCCTATGACTACCCGCCCAATATCAAGGAGACATTCCAAGATCTTGGTCGAACTGTGAGTGAGAAGGTCAGCCTTCTATCTTCGGCTACATCAACTGCAGAGGCCCAAGCAGCTCTCGTGGCTCCTGCATCCGCGAAGCCGCAACCGAAGACTTTCAACCATGCCATCTCTCGTGCGAGCTTATCCAGCAGCCAGCTCCTCCACCAGCATCACACTGGTGCTGGTGAGGATCCTCTAGCGACGGCTCTCGAGAAATATGCACTTGCCATGGAACGAGTGGGCGATGCGCGCCTTGCTCAAGATTCCCAAATTCAAAGTCGGTTCCTAGCAGGATGGAACACGACTCTTAATACCAATCTTACATTTGCGGCTCGTGCTAGAAAGAATGTGGAAAACTCAAGATTGACCCTCGATGCTGTCAAGGCTCGTGTAAAGGGAACGACTTTTAAACTTGGTGGTCACGCTCGGGCTGATCGGCCAGAGGAAGCAGAGCTAAGCGCTGATGCTCAAGAAGAAATTGAGAAAGCAGAAGACGAGTTCGTGACACAAACGGAGGAAGCAGTTGGCGTTATGAAGAACGTAGGTTTATATGCCCTACATTGCTAGTAGAGCTGCTGAAGCTAATGATCGGGCATTTTTAGGTTCTGGACACCCCTGAACCGCTTCGTAACCTTGCCGAACTGGTCGCTGCCCAAATGGAATATCATAAGAAGGCATACGAGATTCTAAGTGAACTCGCCCCGGTCCTCGAGACCCTGCAAACGGAGCAAGAAGTAGGCAGCACCTCCAAATTCTCAGCACTATAATAAGGAGCTGGCTGACATTGAGGGCGTTTACTAGGCCAGCTACCGAAGAAATCGTGACTTGGCTTGAAGAATATCTAATGCGTTTAGTTGTTATGTAATGCAAGTAGGACTTTCAACCTTAGTTCGATGAGTTACGCATAATATAAATACCTATCCCAGTAGCTCTGAAGCTTCTGAACACGACCAGTCCACATAATATGGTGTAACAGGACGTTGAACATATATGAGAAAGAAGTTCACTTTCATTTGTAGTATAAACTTCAATTATGGGATGGGGCGTGCGGTTTTCTAGTACCCGGTGAAATTTGTAATTCTCCACAAACTTTATTTAACTGCTATCACCGTAAAAACAATAGAAGGCTCTACAGTCAGGCAAAAGACGAGAAAAAAGAAGCAGAAAGAGACAAGAGACAAACTAATAGTGTTATTCATGAATCTCGAAATGCCTTTATACGGGGGTCAAGGCAGATCCGGCGCTCAATATTTTCGCAGCTCTAACCAATCAAGCAGCGATGTCCAGTTTGCTGTGGCAGGTATTTCGGAGCCAGATGAGAACCCAAGATTATCTGTGAAACAATTTCCGCACCGTGGGCTAGATTCCGAGGAGCAAGATAGAACATATCGATCTGGGTCTGAGAACGGAAAGCAGAAATCGACGCTCCGGGATGATGATCGCAAAGGCCATCTGGATGTACTATTGCGTGCGACTGAGCAATTCCTGGCTCAAGGAGATATCGCAAAAGCAGCAAAAGCGTTTGGAATCGTTCTTCAGCTTCGGCCCCGCGCTCAAGCCATCGATATTCGCCTCCATCATCTTTGGTCAATTGGGTCGGAGATCCTTATGCGGCAGAGAGAGCAGCTGCAAGAGATTGATCAGCAACTATCGGCTACCGGAGATGGGATTCAAAAGATCGCACCCCGATGGGGGTTTTCTGCCAACATGAGCGAGTTCAAGTCGTACTTTGAGATATTGATTCGTCAGTATGCATATGATCATAAAGCGCCACACAAGCTCTCAGCAGTCGACTTTTGGTTGACCCTACTCACCTGCGAGCTGAGCACCATCTACGCAGAGCATCTGAGAGCAATCGCCCATCTGGAGGCTGAGTCGAGACTTCAGCCTGGAGACTCTGCACCGCAGGATAATTTTCTACTATTATTGCCAAGTACGAATGTATCTCTTAGTAGGCGATCTGATTTTGAAGTCGCGGACTCTGGGATGCAGGATGAGGCAAAAGAAGACTGGGTCAAGAGCCGAAGAGAAGCAGTTTGCCAACATTCCCTCGCTGGTCTACGAGATATCAACCAACGGATGGAGAAACTGGTGGATCAATTGCCTTACGCCAAAAACGAGAGCTTTCTGCAGTTAAGGGAGATAACCTCACTCCTCTCCATTGATCTCAGTTCATCAAATCACAACATGTCAGGGTCATAGCACCATACATTGTGTCAAGTCTTTGGACATGGCATAGGTCGCTAATTTATAGAGGTCTCGCATTTTAAATCTACCTTCTGCCTAAGAGTTAGATATGAAACCGGAGATCTGTGGATGCAAATATGGGCAGTAAGATAATGCGTTTGGGACAGCTGCCTTATTTGCTCCCTTCTTATATCGTGGCATTATTTCTGAGCCCAACGCTGCAGCAATAAAGCCGTGTTTGAGCTCCCAACTACGACACACCAATCTCCCCCAGGACTCCAGGATGCCTGCCTGCCCACAAAATTGGCCGACGATGACTCCATCTTATGGTGCCGTAGCGGCTCGTGAGTGTCATCCATGCTATACTTGGTCGCCCATGATTCCAATGTCTCTGGGCTGAACTCCCGGGAATCCGCATGGTTTACATATACTGGAGTTGACGAATCTTGCTGCTCACTACCGGTTGCTCGAGGTTTATTTGGTGGGTCTGCTTTTGAACGGGGGATGACGGGCTTCTGCCAGCTAGGTAACTGTATTGGTTTGCTTTTGTCCACAGGATTTGCCAGCGTCGACATGATATCACGGTGGGCAGTCAGCCGCTTTAAATCCCAGAAAAAGATGTTGCCCGCGGCATTGCAAAATGCAAGCACCGGATTTTGGTTGGGCACATGATGGAGCTTGAAGCGCATGAAAAATTGAGGGCCACAGTTCGGAGTGTGGAAGGCCAATAACCGTGTATATTGGACGGGGCACTGAGGGGAGGTCAATGGAACGAAAGCAGACCTTGTAAGTCGTCCGGGATCTTCATAATTTGTTGGGAGCACATTTTGTGGCGTGGGGGCAGTACTCTGGGGTGGTAGAGGGTCGTCCGAGGAGAATCCCTCGATCTTCCACAAGACAATCACATTATCGTGACATGCTCTAGATAGGATGAGATCCCCATAAAATGAGACGCTATAAACATATTAGTACTGCTAATATACTTCTCTTTTCGATGATCTTACCAATCGACAATGCCACTGTGCACAGCTGAGGTTGAGAAATGAGGATAATGGACCTGTAAAGGCGTATCAATGGGCTCGTTGGGGAGATCGGGAATAGTCCACTGTATTATTAGAGGTATTAGTATTTTGCAGTAGAGTTGGACAGATCAGCCTCATACCAAATTTATGATCTGGTCGTGGCCACCGGATAAAAGATAGCGGCCGGTTTCGTGGAAAGCCTAAGAAGCGTCAGTGGAAGCCTTGGGGTAGGGTGAAGGTGAAGCATCTTACCACACTGAGCAGATTCCAAGAGTGGCCTTCTCCGGCGAGAATGCATAAGCATGGTTGACTCCTATGCTTTTCTTCAACACTCCATATCCGTACACTTGTGTCGTCGGAGGCTGAAGCGATGATGTACGGGTTGACAGGGGATGTGGCTAAGTCATTAACGTCCTTTGCTTCGGGTGAGTTCATGAGGCCGAAGGTGAAGAGTTGAGAGAAAACGAACCCCGCCATGGCCGACAAAGCACTATAAAATGAAAACATTCAGTCCATGTCCAATCTCTCACGTCCTGACAGTCATTGTGCCTACCTCAACCAACCGGCCATCAACTACGTCGTATATCTTGACTTTGGCATCAACGCCTCCAATGCAGATATAGGGCCTGCCATTTACGGCATCCATAGTCCAAGTACAGCAACAACTGGCAGCCTCATCCTATGAGTTGTTTAGTCAAGTTCACCTTATGGTGGAGGGCAAGTCACTTACATCATCGTCTCTTATGACATTGATTACATGACAGGGATTGACATCACCTGTATCTTTTGTGAGTCGGCAGATAACAACCTAATTCGCTGCGTTAGGAAACTGATGGTGTTGCATTGCCGGTTGATGAGCGATGCGAGTGTGTGATTATATTTCCGGGGAGCTTACATGCTTCTTGCTGATAGCGGCAAAGACAGGTTCATGATCTAGAGGCTGGTAAGGGCAGAATTTGACATCAAAGAATTCTATCCATTGCTTGGGCGGTTAGCAGTTCATCATTCACGGGCAAAGTACAGCTCCGGTAGCAGAATTGGATGCTTGCCTGCAATATTATCATCACTACCGAGGAACCTGGTGTCATTCTGCGGATGTGTTAGCTATGAGCGGTGCGAGTATGGGTGGCTGATACTCACCTCTAGAGAGAAGGAGGTGCGTAGTTTGGGGAGCTCAAAGTTTACATCGTCGATGCTAGCCATCCCGCCTTGTGCTTTCATACAATGCCGTTAGAACGAGAGTGGTATGGCACAATTTCAGTCTGAGTTGAAGCAGTGAAGCGTTGGCTAGATATCTTCCGCCCCACAACTTTTGTCAGCAATGTGGTTAACAGCAAGTGAGGTGAGATCGCGACTTTGGTTTCGAGAGAGTCGGCAAAACGCACTGGAATTATGGAATTACTGCAATCCGCCCAAATAAATTACCATTGCGATATCACACATGTATAGATTGACACATGGTTGGGATATGGAGAGTCACTGTAGCCTCAATGCGGATCATAGTTTCTAGCGAGCGGCCACCGCCTGCGGATGCGATCAAGTAAATGTGTCTAAGCTACACAATGCTCTTTCAACGAGACCAAGGGTGTGTTTGAGATATACAACGCTTGTGTATTCCTTTGAATATCAATCTTAATACACCGACAGAGCCCTCTCCATGGGCTACTTCATCCACCTGAGTCTTTGATGCTTGAGGTAAAGACATCACACAGAGATGAATACAATGGGCATCATAGAAAAAAAGAAAAAAAAAAAGCTGCGTGTATACATAAGTCTGGCTACTAATCGTCAACTGCCCACGATATCTTGGACAGTAAACAGGCACAGACCTGCTTCCTATATATTTGAGTGTACATATGTATATGGCGACATGGATCTATCCAATGATTTACGTGTAAATGATCGTCAGTTTGCTTCTCCCATATAATCGTGCCAGGCCGTAATTGAATCAGTTTGCAGATCACGCTCCCATCCTACTCCACTCCATGCCTGCAGTCGACTCAAGTGTCGTATTGTTGGCCGTCCATGAGGGCAATTCCAAGGCTTATCCAGCTCCCCCATGTGGTTAACAAGAGAATGCATCTGGCTTTTTGTCATGGCCTTGCCAATCATAATGCTGCTTCGACATGCCCTCATAGCAAACATCTTTTGAACCTTGGAAGGGCGGGGGATATACGAAGACTCGGCCGATTTATCGCCCAAAAGAGATATCAATTCTTCCAAGTCATCCAGTTTGAAAGTGACTTCACGGCTCAAGGGCAATGAAGTCAACTGGCATCGCGACCCCACAGAAAAGCGTCCTGTTGTATCAATGTTTACTTTGAACCCGTTTGCATTTAGAGCCGTTGCATTCTCTAGTATTATCTCCTCTTCTAGAGCTGTCAGCTGAAGTCTCTTAGGATGCACAAGACGTTGAGATTGAATCTCAGTGGTGTTTTGAAGTTTTTCATAATTATACTTCTCATCAGACGCATGCTGGTCGATGATGAAAAGCTCATCATATTTTCCTTCGACACCAGAGCCTAGGCGGCTGGCAGGCTTAACAGCGATGATAAACCCAAGATTGAACTGGCCGATGATTCTCATTTTTGAAAAGTCACCCTTTGAAATGATAAGAGGGAGCCTAGATTCTGCATCGCTGGCATCAATTCGCTCTACAGAAGAAGCATTATGCGACGTAGAACCAGGCTGGGAGGTACGAAGACGAGGACGCTTATTATGTAGTAGTCGGAGCTTTCCTTTCTCCACATGTAAGCTTTGTATATAGCCCGTTGTGATGTCTTTTCGCCGCGCGGGTTTGGAGGGCTGTATTCGAGATTCTACGGAAAGAGCTCCTGCATTGGCGGTATTCATCGGAGAACCGCCATCTGTTGTTACGAGTGTAGACTTGAGGTGTTGAGAGTCAGGCTCTGTTTCAAGAGACTGCTTGTCATCCCGAGATTGCCTAGAAATATTATTATCCATAGCTCTGCGATTTCTCCGTGTCGGCGAAGGTTGTTGAATGATAGATTCGGTATCTAATCTAGAAATTTCTGAAGGAAGAAGTTCCTTTGCTTCGCCGGGTTCTGGTAATGTGGAATGCAATTTTTCAGGCTCGAGAGATCTGGCTTTGCCCTCCACATCTGTAGCTTTGGCCAGGCTAGTGACCTCTCGTAGAGGAGTTACTACCGCGTGTAACTCTTGGCTGCCTTGATCCTCTACAGAAATATCAGAAGCAACGGGACTGGTGGAGTCAGAAATTTCTGGGTGGATTTTGAAATTAGGACCATGAGATCTCTGGGGCTGGTTTATGACGGTATTGATGTTGGATGTAGCCGATGAAGCTTTAGGTCGAGGGGAGTGGTCTACCAAGACAGTCTTTAGATGAGTAGGCTCTGGGGCTGGTTTCTCTGGAGAAGATGATATATCTCTCCTGACCACTGATTCGATACCGTTATGTAGGTGCAGTTTCTCTTTCGTATTACACTGTGGCCTTGTCTTCATGGATCGCGATGCCTGAGGAATCTCATCGTCCGGCTCTGGCTCTTCGGTGTCTGTCGTAGAACTGGATTTGTTATCTTCATAACTGGGACTGTGTTCTACCGCGGTGGTGGTATAGGATTTATACGCTGACTCGCCCAAAAGTCGAGGGAGTTGTCCAGGCTTAGTAAATTTACTATAAGAAGACTGTGCTTTCACATTTTGAGTTGATGTGGCAATTGAGATACTGTCTTCATGGGTATCAAACAACTGAGACAAGGAGGAACGAAGAGTATCCAGGAGGTTGTTTTGGTCATGCAGTAGAATAGATCGCTTATCAGGGCTGACGTTTACATCGTATAGCATAGTATCTAGCTGGACATCGGCGAAAATGAAAGGTGATTGCGAGTTATTATATGATCGATAAACTTCGTTGAACGCTTTGGCCAGTTGAGGTAGCGAACAGGGTCGACCGTTGACAAAAAACATCTGTCGATCCGGGGTCTGTCTGCCTTCCCCATGGGCAGGTTTCGAGATGTGGCCCACGATACGAACGTCATGACTATTGGGTCCTAATTTGTCGCCAATTCGCACGTCAGAGCGGGTACCGGAGGGCTTAAGCTCCAAGTGAAGATCGAGAGGTATCAAAGCAGTTAGAGTTTTTGCGCCGAAGATATTGATAATGTTGTCACGAGTGGTCGGGTTGCCTTTGGTGGAAAAGAGTAATATTCGTTTCCCTTTCGTAGGTTGTTGAGATACGGAGAATTTCACGTTCGTCTGGATGCACGCATACTGGTTAAGTAGAGCAATGACCTTGTGCCATTCCCTCTTAATATTACGGTCAAGTTCTCGGCGTCGGACAGGTAAATTATGGAATAGATTTTCCACTGTGACAGTAGTTCCTCGCTGGGCTGCAACGACGGTTGTGCTATCCAGCTCTCCTGACTGGTGAAACGTTAATCTGGAGCCTTTGGGAGATTCTTGTTCTAGGCAGGTCGTCACTGTTAGAATTGACAAGGCGCATAGGGATGCTAAAGCCTCGCCACGAAAGCCAAAGGTTTGCAGCGACTCTATGTCAGAATAGGAAGAAAGCTTTGACGTGTAATGCTTAAGAGCAACAGAGCTATAGTTGGCAGGCGAGATACCGGATCCATTGTCTTGAACCTCAATTGAATCGAGGCCTTGGTTTTTGAAACGAACGTCTTCACTACAGGTCAGTCGAGAGACACGGCTAGATATTTCTGCAGCTATTTAGCACACCAACCTATGATCGTTGCCCCAGAATCAACGCTGTTTTCGACTAGCTCTTTGACAACAGAACATAGGTCAACAATGACCTGGCCCGATTGGATTTGATGGACCTAATGGCCAAATATTAGCTGAGTGTTTCCATAAAGCTCATGAAAGACTTACGCTACGGCCATCGATTTGTTTGATAGTGGCCATAAATTCCAGCAGATGCAAGTTTGAGCGCCTGGGAGATGTAGAAGGTTAACACAGAGAAGCACCGTGAATGACAGCACAGTATAAATACGGGCTAGCGCCTTCATACATTCTACTAATAGCTTACATAGTAGTATCCACAATAGCAAATATTTAATACAAACACTATTTGACATAACTTTAGGCAACTATTAAACATATTTGATGAAATTATATATATTATACATATTATAAAGGTGTAGTTTTTAAATAACACAAAAAGTCGAAACAATACCAATAATAACATAAAGCTTTAAAGGGATATATAAGGTAATTAGCAATAGCAGCATAGTAAGTATTGTATTGTATTTTTAAATTATTTATAAAGAACCTATAAAGTATATAGCTCCGAATCTCATGACGACTGTCGCTCAAAATATGTCCATTGCCCTTGAGCTGGCTTTTCATCGAGATTATCCCAGCTAGAACCAGCGTTAGCAACAACAAGTACTCTGCATGTCAAAAAGAGGCGTTGCCTTCGAAACGACTTACACTTGCGCCTGTTCCATGGTCTCAATTAGCTGTAACTCGCCCTCCGCCACCTGAATGACCTCTTCAATGAGACCGGCACCTAGTTGCTGCTCAAGCTCCTTGACCCTGTTTCAATTGTTAGCTGCCTGACAAATGTTTGAAACATGGCAGTAGGCTCACTGTTCAGCCGTAAGCTGGGGCTCATCCTCCCACTGCAGCTTTTCGTCGTTGATGTTTTCATGTTCCGCGGCGTCAATGATCGGATCGTTGCTGCCCACCTGACTCTCGCCATTCCATTCTTGCGACCGAACATCTCCCGCATCATGCTCAATTCCAACGACAAAGACGCGAGTGCCAAACTTGAAGGTCCTAGCACCACTACCATCGACTCGATCACTGGCAGCCTCAAATTGGTGGGGATATTTTCGCATCAGCTCCTTGGCCTTCACAGTCCACTCCTCATATCCGGGGGGGACAATTTTCTCGACTAGACCCATGCGATGCTTGGTCGTCGCCTCGACAGATTGGCGGTAGAGAGATGATTCGGGTATGGATTGCAGCCTGTTAAGTGTTGTGCTATACAGGTATAACAGAGTTGACCGGGGTGTTTTGTGAGTCCATAGTCCTGTGAGTCCGGTAGGAGTACCGGGCTCCAGATAGCTGGCGAGGGCTCGAAATGTCGGCCGCATTTTGGCGAATGTCAATTGTGAGCCAATGTGAGGCAATACGCAATTGAACTTTGGTTTCGCTATCCTATCGAACCGCGGGGAGAAGTTTGAGTGTAAATCTAGCTGGTCGTAGAGTAGACCCACAATATTCACTCGACGCCGGAACTGGACGGAGTAGCGGCATATTATTACAAGTACAAGTACATGTAGTTAAACGTGACTATGAACCCCTGTAAACGAAAATAGGGTAGGATAATGAGAAAGAGAAGGCTAAATATTTATTATATGTTAAAATAGTATATTTATAATGTCTTTATTTTTCTTTTTAAAAGCAGATCCAAAATATTATACTATTTTACACACCCATATTATTGTAAGTTAATATTTAATATTTTTTAATATATAATTAATACAAAATATATTTAAATATATTTTATAAAACCTTTTATCTCTGATTAAATACTTATTTATCATTAAAATATTGGCTAGCGTCTCTATTTCGGACCCACCGGATGACGCGACTCGATCGGCGTCTAGAAATGCAGTGCGTGATCTAGGCTCATAATATCCTTAGGAGCGTTCTGGGGTGCAGCTTCGAACCTGTAGCTCGTCAGTTGCAGTGCCACTCGTCCTTCGTCAACACAGCAATCTACCCTGCGATCGCAATTCAGCAAAATGGCTCAAGGGTGAGAGTTATTGGTGATGGCGCAAAAGAAACTGGGCTGACACAATGATACGTTATTCGTCTACAGATATTCCATTTTCATCGGCCTCCTGGTCATCGTTGCGTTGAGCGCAGCGGCCTGGTTCTTGTCCCCCAAAGGCGAGAATCAAGTGTCAGTCTTTCACACCCCATCTCGAATTCTACCTGGCTAATAACCTGTGTTTGATAGTTTATGGCGGTCATCTCTGATTTTGGCTATCGTCAGCTGCTATCTCATGTGGCTAATCACCTTCCTCGCCCAACTCCATCCACTGATTGCACCAAGACGAAGCGATCTGCGAGAGGAATTCCTGGGACACAGTAATTAGAGTTGATTGCTGGCTACGGCAAGCGCAGCTTCGGGCGTATCGGGCAGATTGGCGTTAGGGGTTTTACTTCATTCACATCATCTTGTATTGCTATCGAGTTTCTCACTGGGAGTTGCCTTCTTGTCCTGCAAGCCATCATTATTAGTGTACAAAGAGGTGCCGACGTGGCTTTAGACCAATCTACCTGTTGAGGCATCGGGATTCATAAAACAGGCCGGTGTTTACGCTGTTACCATAAGATAGCAACATGGTATATGTAACGCTGGTCTGATTAATACATTGATTTGGTTGTCGAGGATCACTCTATCCTATCCTACAGCTAAACGGCCAGCCCAATCCCTAATGTACTTCATTAAGGCCCAAAGAGCTTTGCCATCTGCAGCAACGCTGCTATCACCGATGGAGTCTACATCGCCCAGCCCAGCAGAGATCAATATCAGCTGGCCCACAGCCCAACGTACAGATGCGCCGGCAATTGCCAAGAAGCAGGCTACATAGTATTTGCAGTCAAGCAGAATCCGCAGGGCTTCTACATTATTTGCTACGACAGCCCAACCTAGGGACCTCGCGGCAGCGGGCACATCATATTCCCAGATGACCATCAATATTGGAAATAATTTGGTCGAGGATGAGACAAGTAAGGCTGTCGATACCGAGTTCGGGCGGTTATACCGTGGCATCAGTCCTGTGATATTCAGCGGCGAGAAGTGGGACGAGGTAAAAAATCGGATGCTCAAATGGAAAGCGATGGTGGACAAGGCGCAAAGAACCACTACGGCAGCGATGTTAGTGGACGGTGTAACAAAGATGAAGATGCAGAGTACCGACGAAAGAACATGTACTGGATCACAATCGGCTGTTCCGCCAGCGGCCCTAATTTACTCTCGCCGGGTGTTGACGACGGTATGGTTTGCTTCTCTATTCGCGCCCATGTCAAGTAGACATCAAACAGCAGAAGTAACACGCCCAAACGAATGATGGAAGGCTGCCAAGAATATGAGCATACCGTCGTACTAATCAAGCTGGCGAGGGAGGGGGTGGCTTGGTCAACGTACGTCGAAGCGATCGCCATCTCGCATCAAGGTATTGTGCAGCAAGTGGCGATAGACCTGAGGTTTAATGAGGACCAGGTCGATGAAGAGCACAACAAAGTCGTGCTCTACATATTTATCACAGAAATGACCACATTTTCGGCAGACAGTGAGACGGATCAAGTGCCCATTGGACTTGTCATCGGCTCCGGAATATTGTGTCCACAGAGTTTTGACAGGATAGCGGCACTCTATACAGATAGGCATTGGCGTGGTGAAAATCCGCGTAGCTTCGACATGGGATATTTTGTTTCGTGGTGTATTACTCCGTATCGTATGCTGGCAGACATGGGCGTCTAATCGGATTGATGATAGTCAGATATGATGTAGGTGCGATTAGTAGTAGTACCTAGCTTAACCGCATTTAGTAGCAACCTTGCACTTTGCGGACATGTGTTTCACAGTTTAAATTGCCACCAGTCTTCCACGTGTATTGTATTATCTATAATCAGCATCTAGATAATAATGATTATTAAAAATGAATTGAGCTTATGCATAATAATATTGAGAAATTATATTAAAACTTTCTTCATTAGAAAATGTTATTATCTCTCTCTCTCTCTCTTTTTTTTTTTTTTTTTATAAAACATATTGGGTTAGATCTTTACCCAACCTCTCTCTACATTAGTGTGCATGTCGAATTTCTAAAATGACGCGAAATGCTCCCCCAACTCTATCTAGCTGCTTTCCCGCGATTTTATCCACTTAGCGCTCTGCGCCTCGCTGTGCTCACTCTAATTGGACCAGATGACGGCGGAATGGGTCGCATTCGGCCGTGTGACTTTCTGCTTTAATTTCATTACTTTTTCCCAAAGTGCTATCACCTTATTCTGGCCGTAGCAACCCATAGCCACTCACAGCTTCGGCCTCACCAAAGGTCTCTCTTCGACCTTTCCCATGAAGAGGCGCTCGTCGTCTGTTGATGTCGGTGGTAAAACCTCCCTCGAGCTGCAAAACCCAGATGCCGAGTCAGAACACCGCCTCAATGGCTTAATATCCCGTCAACCATCGGCTCCAAGGCAACTCAACGGCGTCTATTCGAATCAGGCGAATGGCCACCAGCACCCTTCCAGCCATGCAGCAGTCGCATCCTTTTCACCACTATCGCTCCCTGCTTCGTCGCCCAGTATGACCACGACCAAACAGCCCCCCCTAGCCAGCTCGGGGGCGCGCAATCGCAGCATTTGGTTCATGTCGGTCCTGTCCTTTTTTGTTGCTACGGCTGGTGTTGGCCTCTTGGTCGCTATCTTTCGGTCTCTCACGACTCGCCAAATTGAGCCCAAAGGATGTCGAATGTCGTATATGCGACCTTCCTACATTCATTTCTCCGAATTCGATACTGAACACACCCGTTTTGCAAGCAAATACTCTCTATATCTCTATCGCGAGCAGGGTATTGATGGCGGTCAGGTTGGTTTCATATCCCCCTACTCGGAAAATAGGTACATCAAAGCTCACACCATGGCAACAAGTTGCGCGGAATTCCGGTTCTCTTCATCCCAGGCAATGCCGGAAGTTATAAACAAGTCCGACCCATTGCTGCAGAGACTGCCAATTACTTCCATGATTATCTTCAGCACGACAGTCACCAGCTAGATTCTGGCATAAGGACTCTTGACTTCTTCACAGTCGACTTCAATGAAGACATCACTGCCTTCCACGGCCAGACCTTGCTTGACCAAGCCGAATATCTCAACGAAGCCGTCCGATACATCCTTTCGCTATACTCTGAACCACAAAGAGCATCTCGAGATTCGCACCTCCCCGATCCTACATCCGTCCTAATCCTTGGACATTCAATGGGAGGAGTTGTCGCAAGGGCAATGCTGGTTCAACCAAACTACCAGGAGAATTCGATTAATACCATCATCACTATGTCAGCACCGCATGCGCGTCCTCCGGTTACATTCGACGGCCGGATCGTTCAGATCTATGATGAAATCAATGACTATTGGCGGCGTGCGTATACCCAAAAATGGGCCAGCAACAATCCGTTATGGCATGTCACTCTGGTATCTATCGCTGGTGGAAACCTAGATACTGTCGTGCCGTCCGATTACGCTAGTATCGAATCACTTGTGCCCGAAACCCATGGATTCACTGTTTTTACCTCGGGAATACCAACGGTATGGACAAGCATGGATCATCAAGCCATTCTGTGGTGCGATCAATTTCGAAAAGTTCTGGCCGAAACTTTGTATAGTATCATTGACGTTCATCGCGCCTCTCAAACGAAACCCCGAGCACAAAGGATGAGAGTCTTTAAGAAGCGACTTTTGACTGGTCTGGAAACGATTGCTGAGAAGACTCTATCTCTGAATGAACCGACAACCCTCCTTACCTTGGACGACTCGTCTAGTACAGTAGTGCCAACCGGAGGCCGGCTAATTCTCTCACAGTTGGGTTCTGAGGGTACGCCGAAGGCTTATCTCCTTCCCGTGCCACCTCATGGATCTCCTGAGCCAAAACGCTTTACTTTATTGACTGATGCTCAACTTAGCGCACCTATCGACAGCAACCAATTGCAAGTCCTCTTGTGCAGCGTTTCCCCCTTTCAACACATGAGTACCAATTCGATCTTTTCCTCCATGATAGATCTATCGAGGAACGGTACTACGCCGACGAGACTAGCATGTAAGGATGCTGCGTCTGACACGGTCCTTCTTCCAGCATCAACGGCGAATATTCAGACCCCTTTCTACCTTGACGGAGAACCCCAGATATATCCCTTTTCGTATCTACAATATGACGCTGAATATCTCTCTGATCACCAGTTTGTTGCCGTCATTGACAGAGCAACGAAAATCGGTCATGGCTTTGCTGTTGCGGAGTTCAGTGATCACGCTTCCTTTCAAAAGAAGGAAGACATCAGCCTCACTCGTCTTCTCACCTTTGGTCTATCATTCCGGCTGCCTGCTGGTCGCCCCATCGCTATGGATATCAATATACCGGCCCTCAAATCAAGCTTGATAGCTTATGATATGGTGATAAAAAATCAGCATTGTGCTAGAAGGCAACAGCTGTTTGCGCCACTAATCCGCCAATATATTCAAAGGCCCTATGAGTCCAAATATTTTGTCAATGCTAAGGCGACTGGAATCAGCTTCCATGGTGTCGCCCCATATATGCCGCCTCCATTAACACCGCCGGGTGCTGACGGCCTAGCTTTTGGTATCTGGTCTGACCCGACGTGTGAAGGGCCTCTACAAGTTGACCTTTACGTGGATGTATTGGGGAGTCTCGGAAAGCTGTATATGCGATATCGTACCGTTTTTGCAGCTTTTCCTTTGCTCATCGTTGCGTTGGTACTTCGGAAGCAGTTCAATGTTTATGATAGGACTGGCATCTTCATCTCCTTCTCCGAAAGCTTAGATCTGTCTATGCGACAGTCAATTCCGCTTCTACTTTCTTGTCTAACTCTATTGTCTATATCCCCCAGCGGAGTGACGATTTTTCTCGCTGCGCTTGTGGACAGCAACCAGGCAAATCCGAATCTCTCTTCGAAAATCAGTTTTCATAAGAACGACCTTCTTATTGGTACCGACGACCCTTTCTTCATCTATCTTGTGCCTTTTATCGGCATTGTATGCATCGGCGTCTGTACTGTCCTGCATTATATTCTTCTTGCTTTGACAAGAATCCTTGGTGTCGCATATGCCGTGTTTACGGCATTACCTACGATCAACGGCAATTTTTTGCTAAACCCATCGCCGGTGTTTGCACCATCTACTCCTCGACGAAGGGTGATTTCAACTATTATCCTATTATTTCTGGTGTCGACTTTCATTCCGTACCAATTCGCGTACTTAGTCGCTTGCCTTGTACAGATTCTTACCGTTGTTCGCGCCCTTCGCATATACGTTGTCACACCCTCAACGGCTAACTCCAATTATTATCACTATTCACACTCTATTCTTCTGCTAATGATGTGGGTTCTCCCGATCAACTTACCTATATTAGCGGTCTGGGTTCGTAACCTTGCCGTTCACTGGCTCACACCATTTTCTTCCCATCACAATGTCTTGTCTATAATGCCATTTATATTACTGGTGGAGAATTTGACAACAGGCAAGATGGTTCCACAAATAACAAGTGGATTTCGCCATATTACCAGCGGGCTTCTTTTTGGCACGGCGCTTTGTGCTGCAATCTACGGCGTTTCACATGCATACATGCTTCATTACTTGGTTAATGTAGTGGCTGCATGGCTCGTCATTCTTCACTCTTCTTCGGAGCCATGGTCATTAATGAATTTCGGTACTTTTTTGGAAGGAGATGTGGATGAATTGGAAGAAAAGCAGTAATTTACACTGAATAATGTGGTATAGATGTTTATATAACAAGCGTTACTTCAACTACTATCGCTTTATGCATTATAGTTAATATACATTATATAGATAATTGTAAGATATCAATATATATTAAAATCTAAGTATTTTGCTTTCTCTTGATATTAAATTAAAGCGCAATAATAATTAAACACTAACGAATAAAACAATCAATAGCTTATAATAGAATAAAATTATTATTTAAATAAACAATAATATTATACTATTATTTCGATATTTATTAATACAATTAGTCTTAATATTCTTTGAAATACAACGCTAGTCTACTTTAGCCTAAATCATATGCTAAACAATTACATCATACCGTTTCGATACTCCTCGGCACGAGGTACTTCCCGTTAAAACTCCCGAATTCATCAGCCTCTCCCAATGCCCAACCGCACAGCCTCGTGGCTGCGCTGGATCCTCGGAATGGGCGAGCGTCGAAAATTAGGAGATGTCGCTCTGGACATTGTCCTGTTTGCTGGCATGGTAATAGACCTTTGCATCCATATCCGTCAATGTACTAATGAAATACTCCAGATGACAGCTGGTCTCTACGTTGCTCGCACGTTTTTGAATCCGATCTTGAGCAATCTGGTAGACCCCGATAAAGAGAAGCACGAACAGGCGAAGCGTCAGGCGAAAGCCCATCTTGATCGCTTAAGTCGGAGACGACATATTGATGGCATTGGAGACCATGGGGCAGACGGGGCTCGAGGAGGCTCACGAGTCGAAGAGCTGGTTTTAAATGAATATGAGAACCTAATAGCGCTTGAAATGGTCGCGCCCGATGATATACATGTCGGCTTTGATGGTAAGTCCTGGCTATTCGATGTTGTCGGGGGAATTCGCCACTAATTCGACGTGAAACTTGAA